TGCATGTACTTAGTATGTATAATGCCCTGAGTTTGATCACAAGGCACTATGTTTGATACACAGCAACACACACACACACACACACACACACACACACACACACACAAGGAACCAAGAGTGGGAACCAATTCAGAACCCATTTCCACACTGTAATATGGCACACAGAATTTGAGTATGACATGTAAGAGGATCTTCATAAGATTAATTGTCTTTCTAGACTTCACTTTATTCATCTGTACCATCATAGCTACTGGTAAAATTAAATCCAATATTTCTTGGCTCTCATTAGTTGCTAATTATTTTTTTGATGAAAATTTCCATTTCTGTGTGTTTCATATCATTTAGAAATTTAAAAAGAGTTTTGTGCCTGCTCACAATTGTTCTTTATTCTTTTAGGAGATGGGCCTTATGCTACCCAGGCTGGCCTTAAACTCCTGGGCTCAAGCAGTCTTTGTTCCTGAGCCTCTAAAATAGTTGAGACTACAGGCTTGTTCCACCAAACGCAGCTTTTTACTTTAAATACAAGAATCAAAGTGTTGCCAAAAGCTTGGGCCTTGTCCCCAGTGCCAATCCAATAATGAGGACATGGTTTGAGAAAAAGGAAAAAGAAGTTTTAGCCCTTTGCTAGTAAAGGAGAAACACAGGGGACTCCTGTCCTAAAGGCTGTGATTCTGCTCATCAGCAGGAACAGAGGGCTTTTAGAGAGGTGATTCAGAGAAAATGAGATTAGGGAGGAGAGATCAGGAAGGAGAAGATCAGGGAAAAGAAGATCAGGGAGGAGAAAGCTAGAGAAAAGGAGATCAGAGAAGATCAGGGAAAAGAAGATCAAAGAGGAGAAGATCAGGAAGGAGAAGGTTGGAAGTTTGAAAGCTTTGAAACAAAAGGATCAAAGCCACCAGGGATATAGTCAAAGCATCAAGTGAACCCCTATTACAAAGGTATATAATTTCAAAACAGCCAGAATGTTATTTATTTATTTTCAGCTTTCTAGAGGTATAATTGACAAATAAACATTGTAATAAGTATATATTTTGTGAAATGTTACTACAGTAGTTTCAAATAGCTAGAGTTTAGGCCATGGTAGGTATAGAGGTTATTGATAGGACATTCGCAGAGTCCACACAAAGTCCAAAGGCCACGCCACACACCAGAATCTCACACAAGAGACTTTTTGTTGGCAGCACGAGACAAACCGACAAGGCTGTACCTTCAAGGAAAGAAGCAGCACTTAGGCACTCACAGAGGAGCTTTATAGCCATCAAGAGGAATTTCATAAGAAATTCATAAGGAGTTGTGTCATAAGCTAGGGTGGGGTTGATCATTTAGCAGGCACATGTTCTTATGGGAAGTGAAGCAGCATTGCCTCGGAATCTCGACTTTGGAGCCTCTAGATAAAATGGCTCCCAATCTAAACTGGCAAGTCTGATGCTAATATTGACCTGATGTCAATAGTTATAATGCCTTACTCCATTTAATCTGGGAAGTTTAGGAGCGAAATGATCTCCTCCTCCTCCTCCTCCTCCTCCTCCTCCTCCTCCTCCT